GGATTGTTAACAACAGTCACAGGGTGCAGTTGAGAAAGTCGTAAGATGCTTAATACTGGGTACGAACAAGTATTCCGTTCGAAAAAATATTCAAACTCAGTTGACCAAAAGGTATCAAGGTCGTCACGTAGAAACTAGACTGATTTACAAACTTGAGTCAATACTTCCAAAGTTTACATCTCAACGTTAAGTGAGACGATTTATTTCTTCACAACCAAGAACAGTCAGAGTGATGACTATAGAACAGTTCCAAAAAAGTACGAACCTCAGCAGTTTAATTGTTGGAGTTTACAGAGGAATCAACTGTTACGAAAAACCGTAAAACTGTGGACCGAAGTTATCTGATCAACCAACTGCAATGATTATTGTAACCTGATGCTAACCCATAAATTAATTTTAAGACTGAAATTCCTCGTTAAGGCTTATTTCAAGTTTATGAGTTCCAATGGATAATTTTTTATGCTCTAGATGCCCAACGGTGATAGTTCCAAATGTAAATATGGGTAACAGAGGTAGATAGAATCTCTGTTCTACCAGAACGTTAATGCTTTATCCTAACCGACAGGCGGCAGCAAAACACACGACAACGACACGTAATTCAAAAGCCAAGAGATTTGAATAGATGTAATTAATTAAGTTGTTCGCTATCCAACGTACATAAAAAATTACTTTCAATAATAATGTGAAATTAATGCATAGAATATTTGTCAAAAATTTGAATAAAGTTACATGGGGTGTACAACAAACTGTTCAAGAACACAATAACCCATTGGTTGACCAAAATACGGAAATAAATTGGAGCAGAATAATGGTTCAGAAGAGACCTGTTCTCGAAATAAAGCGATAATTATGGGAAATACAGACCAGTTTACTCTCTTGCCTATTCCGGTGATATTAAACAAAACCAACCACGGCGAACAACCTCCCCTGGTTAACTAGTTACTAGCCGGTCCTAAGCCCGGGTAAAGAGGGAAGGTTGGGCATAGGGCTAGCAACCCTACCCTGCAAAACAAATCTAACCGCTAAACAAACTTCAAAGTACAAACGAAATATAAAAAATAATAAGAAAATTATTCCTCGCTGGAATCGGAGAGGCGAAATGACTCCAGTTGGTGAAAGCCTTCGGGAAGCCAGTTGGCCGATGCGTCTTCTCACTCTCGATGAAAGCGAAAGTAAACATGGGGACATGAAATGTCCGCACCATGTTTGAACCCAGCAAGGCAGCCCAGATTGCAAACGAGATGAAGAGGTATCACATTGAAGTGCCTGGAATTTGCGAAAGCAGATGGAATGGGAGTGGACTCTCCAAACTGTCAACTGGAGAATCAATAATCTACTCCGATATTGTCACCCAGACGACAACCACGAACACACTGAGTTATGGAGTGGCTATCATGATATCCCCAACACCATCGAAGGCTCTCATGCAGTGGGAACCAATCTCCTCCAGGATCATGGCAGCAAGATTCAACTCAAAAGGAAGGAAGGTCACAATCATACAATGCTACACTATGCACCTACAAATAATGCAGAGCAAGAGAAAAAGGAGGAATTCTACAGACAACTGCATTCAACACTAAACAAAGCCTCAGTTGGCGATATCAAAATTCTAATGGGCGACATGAATGCCAAACTGGGAGGGGACAACAGAGGAAGAGAACTAACCATGGGTCGAGAAGCGCTAGGTGAGGTGATGAACGAGAATGGAGAATTGTTTGCAGAATTCTGCGCATTCAACGATTTAGTGATTGGAGGCAGTGTGTTCAAGCATAAGGATATCCACAAAGCGACATGGATTTCACCAGACACACTAAAAATCAAATCGACTTTATCTCAATCTCAAGAAAGTGGAGACGCAGTCTACTGAACACAAGGTCAAGAAGAGGAGCAGATGTAGGTTCAGACCACTATCTAGTGCAAGGAACCTTCCAAATCAAGTTGAAAGACTTCAAGGAAGCAGACTCGGAGACAACAGCGGACATGCTCACACCACTATTGCAGAAGGTGTGGAAGGAAGAGAAGGTACCTGCCTATTGATTGGAAGAAGGGTTGCCTTGTCAAACTGCCGAAGAAGGGAGACCTCAGTGTTTGCAAGAACTGGCGAGGAATCACTCTCCTGTCCACCCAAAGCAAGCAAAATATTAAGCCGCATAATCCTGGAGAGGCTTAAGGATGCACTGGATTCAAAACTACGACCGGAACAGGCAGGCTTCAGGAAGTACAAATCATGTGCGGACCAAATTGCAACGCTTCATATCATCATAGAACAGAGCATAGAATGGCAATCAGCTCTCTACCTCAACTTTATCGACTTTGAGAAGGCCTTTGACAGCGTCGACTGAGAGGTAGTTTGGAAACTGCTTCATTACTACGGAGTACCGCAAACCTTTATCAGCCTCATTCAACAACTATATGAAGATGCCACATGCCAAGTAATTCACAATGGGAAGCTCAGTGATGCTTTTGAAGTGAAGACAGGGAGTGAAACAAGGTTGCCGCCTACTATCACCCATGATATTCCTGATTGTGGTGGACTGGATCATGCAGCAAACAGTGGGGAGCGAGAAGAGGGGGATACGCTGGCTGGACTGCGGAAAAGAACCTAGAAGACTTGGATTTCGCCGATGACTTGTGTCTGATGTCACACAAACTTGAAGATCTACAGGCGAAAACTAACAAGTTGGCAGAAGAGACAGCGAAAGAAGACGGGACTTCAAGTGAATAAAGAGAAGACAGAGGTGATGAAGATACCGCACCACCACCATCAACAACAACAACAAACTCCAGTCACCATGAACGGGAGAAACTTAAAGGAAGTAACCTCCTTCACCTATCTAGGCAGTACTGTTTCAACTACAGGCGGCACAGACGAGGATGTCAAAGTCAGAATCGGAAAAGCAAGACAGGTGTTCATTAGCCTTAAACCAGTGTGGAGATCTTCTGCACTCAGCATGTGGAACAAGATACGGATTTTCAACACCAACGTCAAGTCAGTGCTCTTGTATGGCTCAGAGACTTGGCGCCTTACGAAAGGGATTTCCAATAAACTACAGATATTCACCAACAACTGCTTACGCTCGCTACTGAAGATCACATGGATTGCCAGAAAGAATAAGCAACAAGGAGCTCTGGGAACGAAACAACCAAGAACCTATCACCCAACAAATATGCAGAAGGAAGTGGAGATGGATTGGGCGTACACTGAGAAAGCCGACTGTGGACATCACGCGCCAGGCCAGGCCGTCGAGTGGAATCCCCATGGGAAGCGACGAGTTGGACGTCCAAGGGTGACATGGAGGAGGTCGTGCGAGGAGGAAATGAGAGGTTGTGGGCTGTCGTGGGACCAGGTTCAAAAGATCTCAGAGAACAGAGGTCACTGGAGGCGTGCTACTGAAGCCCTATGTTCTATTAGGAACCTAAGGGACCAATAATAATAATAACTACTACAATGTTCCAATGAACATTGGTTGTTATTATTGGTCCCTTAGGTTCCTAATAGAACATAGGGCTTCAGTAGCACGCCTCCAGTGACCTCTGTTCTCTGAGATCTTTTGAACCTGGTCCCACGACAGCCCACAACCTCTCATTTCCTCCTCGCACGACCTCCTCCATGTCACCCTTGGACGTCCAACTCGTCGCTTCCCATGGGGATTCCACTCGACGGCCTGGCCTGGCGCGTGATGTCCACAGTCGGCTTTCTCAGTGTACGCCCAATCCATCTCCACTTCCTTCTGCATATTTGTTGGGTGATAGGTTCTTGGTTGTTTCGTTCCCAGAGCTCCTTGTTGCTTATTCTTTCTGGCAATCCATGTGATCTTCAGTAGCGAGCGTAAGCAGTTGTTGGTGAATATCTGTAGTTTATTGGAAATCCCTTTCGTAAGGCGCCAAGTCTCTGAGCCATACAAGAGCACTGACTTGACGTTGGTGTTGAAAATCCGTATCTTGTTCCACATGCTGAGTGCAGAAGATCTCCACACTGGTTTAAGGCTAATGAACACCTGTCTTGCTTTTCCGATTCTGACTTTGACATCCTCGTCTGTGCCGCCTGTAGTTGAAACAGTACTGCCTAGATAGGTGAAGGAGGTTACTTCCTTTAAGTTTCTCCCGTTCATGGTGACTGGAGTTTGTTGTTGTTGTTGATGGTGGTGGTGCGGTATCTTCATCACCTCTGTCTTCTCTTTATTCACTTGAAGTCCCGTCTTCTTTCGCTGTCTCTTCTGCCAACTTGTTAGTTTTCGCCTGTAGATCTTCAAGTTTGTGTGACATCAGACACAAGTCATCGGCGAAATCCAAGTCTTCTAGGTTCTTTTCCGCAGTCCAGCCAGCGTATCCCCCTCTTCTCGCTCCCCACTGTTTGCTGCATGATCCAGTCCACCACAATCAGGAATATCATGGGTGATAGTAGGCGGCAACCTTGTTTCACTCCCTGTCTTCACTTCAAAAGCATCACTGAGCTTCCCATTGTGAATTACTTGGCATGTGGCATCTTCATATAGTTGTTGAATGAGGCTGATAAAGGTTTGCGGTACTCCGTAGTAATGAAGCAGTTTCCAAACTACCTCTCAGTCGACGCTGTCAAAGGCCTTCTCAAAGTCGATAAAGTTGAGGTAGAGAGCTGATTGCCATTCTATGCTCTGTTCTATGATGATATGAAGCGTTGCAATTTGGTCCGCACATGATTTGTACTTCCTGAAGCCTGCCTGTTCCGGTCGTAGTTTTGAATCCAGTGCATCCTTAAGCCTCTCCAGGATTATGCGGCTTAATATTTTGCTTGCTTTGGGTGGACAGGAGAGTGATTCCTCGCCAGTTCTTGCAAACACTGAGGTCTCCCTTCTTCGGCAGTTTGACAAGGCAACCCTTCTTCCAATCAATAGGCAGGTACCTTCTCTTCCTTCCACACCTTCTGCAATAGTGGTGTGAGCATGTCCGCTGTTGTCTCCGAGTCTGCTTCCTTGAAGTCTTTCAACTTGATTTGGAAGGTTCCTTGCACTAGATAGTGGTCTGAACCTACATCTGCTCCTCTTCTTGACCTTGTGTTCAGTAGACTGCGTCTCCACTTTCTTGAGATTGAGATAAAGTCGATTTGATTTTTAGTGTGTCTGGTGAAATCCATGTCGCTTTGTGGATATCCTTATGCTTGAACACACTGCCTCCAATCACTAAATCGTTGAATGCGCAGAATTCTGCAAACAATTCTCCATTCTCGTTCATCACCTCACCTAGCGCTTCTCGACCCATGGTTAGTTCTCTTCCTCTGTTGTCCCCTCCCAGTTTGGCATTCATGTCGCCCATTAGAATTTTGATATCGCCAACTGAGGCTTTGTTTAGTGTTGAATGCAGTTGTCTGTAGAATTCCTCCTTTTTCTCTTGCTCTGCATTATTTGTAGGTGCATAGTGTAGCATTGTATGATTGTGACCTTCCTTCCTTTTGAGTTGAATCTTGCTGCCATGATCCTGGAGGAGATTGGTTCCCACTGCATGAGAGCCTTCGATGGTGTTGGGGATATCATGATAGCCACTCCATAACTCAGTGTGTTCGTGGTTGTCGTCTGGGTGACAATATCGGAGTAGATTATTGATTCTCCAGTTGACAGTTTGGAGAGTCCACTCCCATTCCATCTGCTTTCGCAAATTCCAGGCACTTCAATGTGATACCTCTTCATCTCGTTTGCAATCTGGGCTGCCTTGCTGGGTTCAAACATGGTGCGGACATTTCATGTCCCCATGTTTACTTTCGCTTTCATCGAGAGTGAGAAGACGCATCGGCCAACTGGCTTCCCGAAGGCTTTCACCAACTGGAGTCATTTCGCCTCTCCGATTCCAGCGAGGAATAATTTTCTTATTATTTTTTATATTTCGTTTGTACTTTGAAGTTTGTTTAGCGGTTAGATTTGTTTTGCAGGGTAGGGTTGCTAGCCCTATGCCCAACCTTCCCTCTTTACCCGGGCTTAGGACCGGCTAGTAACTAGTGAACTAGTTAACCAGGCGAGGTTAATAGTGAAATATATGATATTATATATTTTATATATATATATATATATATCATTGTATATTATGTTATATATCAGTGAAATATATTTCACTCCACGGTTAAAAGCCTATTGGTCAGTTGGATGGAGGCAATTAGCAGGAAGCTCTAAACCTGCATTGCTCACGTGGTGACACCACGGAATACGTCCTATACTACGAAGGTAACGGTGGTCAAACACTTGAAGCCTCTTTATATCTTCCACTTTCAATGGCCATGTTTCACAGCCATACAGTAGAACAGAGCGGACTGCTGTGCAGTACACGCGACCCTTAATACACAATCGGATATCACGGCGGCGCCATAGGTGGCGCGAATTCGCAAAAGCCAATCGAGCCTTTTGTATCCGTGCAGAGATCTCATCGGCAACCGACCGACCCACCAGGGTTGATCCTACTTCCCAGGTAGGTGAAGTGGTCGACACACCCAACCACTTCACTCTCTATTGTTAGCCACGGTGGGGCACCGCTGAAGACCAGTCCTGGAGCAAACATTTACATTTGGGTGGTGAAAATCGCATCTCAAACATTCTCAAATTGCCACTCAAAGTGTTCAGAAGACTCTGCATCTCATCAGTCAGCGTCTTCACCTAACAGGACTATGTCATCTGCATATTCTAGATCTGAAGAAAATTCACCTGTGATTGGGCCAACGTCTGTATAATTAGGCGACGAGAGGTAGACCTCCATAAGAATATCTATGATAAAATTGAATAAGGATGGAGAGAGTGGGCATCCTTGACGGACACCACTCGATGAGCATAGCTTCCTAGACATCTCACTATAGGTTCTAACAAGCCCACAATTGTTCGAGTAGAGAGCCTTCGATAAGGTGATGTACTTACTCGGCACGCCTTTCAGTGACAGACATTGCCATAAGACTTCTCGATCAACGGAGTCAAATGCCGCCTTCAGGTCGAGAAATACAGCTATTGTCGGGCGTCTGTAAGCATGCCTATGTTCCAGGACCTGGCGCAGCGTGAATATTTGGTCGATACACCTGCGACCAGGTCTAAATGCTGTCTGCCTGGTTTTCTCGGGCTTGCTGTTCCCGAGCTCCACTCAGGCGTCGGAGAATTATAGAACCTAGGATCTTAGACACTATGTTCGTCAGGCTGATTCCTCTGTGGTTATCACAAGAGGACTTCTCGCCTTTCTTGAAGACTGGGATAATGAGTGACTTAGACCAGTCGGAGGGGATCGTATTTGATTCCCATATACTACCTAACACTTCCGTTAACCTGACTAAGAGCACTCTACCACCATCCTTGTATACCTCAGCAGGTAGTCCGTCTGGTCCTGCTGCCTTCCTCGTTTCAGGTTATCTACCGCTTTCTCAACTTCTTCTAGTGTTGGGGGGCCTGTCTCTATGTCCCATTCAGGATCCGACTGGATAACGGGCAACGCAATCGTGGCTGGAAGCCAGTTAAACTGTTTCTCGAAGTGTTCTGCCCATCGTTTCAGTCGTCCCCCCTGCGAGTGAATCGCAGATCCGTCCTTCTCCGCTACAGCCTCACTAACTGTTGTTGATCTTTTCCCCCCAGTCTCCTTAATAAGTCTAAATAACTGTCTACTATTACCGATCGCCGCTGCCTTTTCCATCTTTTTAGCCTTCACTGCCCACCACTGTTCACGATCGTTGCGCAGACTTTTCATCAGTCTACTTTTAAGTTGCGCTCGCTCTTCATTGTACTCAGAGCCTGCAGGGGTGCATTCATGTGCATCCATTAGTTCGGAAGAAGCTTCTGATATCCACTGGCTCTTTTTAGCCACCATTTTGGAGTCAGTTACAGGCTCGAGGTGGTCAGACTAAAACATGGCACCAATGCATGAAGTCTCTAACTGTTGGTTTGAGTCATGTGGGGCGATGCGGACTAGGTGGTTGGGGTCGGCGGGACAAGAGAAACCAGTGGTTGGAGACTAGGGGATATGGCTCAGAACCGATGTCAGTGGCGCAGATGTATACATACATTATCCTCATCTTAACGACGCTATATCGAATCTCACCACTTTGTCATTCTTCTTCTCGTACTTTATATTTCTTTTGACTGCATTCTCTTATCTTCATCCTTTACCTCACTAGCTTTCTACTTGATGTACTGACATGAGGTGTGGCAACTTAGACCGTTACGCAGTAATGCTCGGTCCTATGTTGATATTAGCTGGTCGACTGATTGGTTCCCTTTGATTGTCACCTCCGCTCTGATTTCCACTTTCAAATTATCTCGTGTTTGTTGCCTTTCACAGCAAACACAATCTCCCTCTATTACCAGCGCCTGTATGGTTTCTCACACTTCTACCCTATTTTTGGCTCTTTCAGATTCGGATTTGTTGTATGAGGATAGAAGGCTGTGAGTGTACATTAATCTTTTTCCAGTAGATCTCTATGCTTGTCCAGAACTCTTCTGAACGGGCCAATTGATGACGAAGACAGCACTTTCTTGGGAGTCAGTTCCATTAGTTGATTACTCGACGCGAGAACCAGTACTTTACGGAGACTACGTTTTCCCACTGCTTCCGTATTCTCGTGCTATATCCTCGAAGTTGTCCCGACCTAGTGGGAAGAAAAAGAGAAGATAGATCAGATTCAAAGTCATTCCTTAGAATACTGTATAACATGATTAGATCGCCACTCTGTCTACGATAGGATAAAGGGAAGAGGCCCAGCACTTTAGGTCGATCTTTATAGATCAGGTCAGTCATCGCAGAAATCAAGAGTGGATACCTTCTGAACTCTTCCCAGAAGGTCTGAGTAACTTTTCAGACGTGGACTTGCCGCTTGTGTGGTTTTCTAATTTAGACCTAGCTAAGAATGTGTATCAGATGGTAACATATCATTACTTATTTTTGTGGACGTTCTGGGTAATGCCCAGTGCCCTAAAACTCTGAGCTGCAACCAATCGACAGCATATCGTGGTCTTCAAATCATAAATTACTATGACTCCTATGTCGTGGGTTGTTACTGAGGTTAGGGGAGTACCACTAATATCGTATGTGCTGCCATCTATGAGCCCCATGTGCATGCTCACACATCTACCCCCTTTGATAGGCACCAGCCATTCCTCTGAGCAGATAAACTAGCGGTTTAGGTTTGTCTAAAGTACACGTATTGCCTCGTATCCCTAACTTTCCACCAGATTTTTACATAATCAGCATAGAGAACCTGTAGAGGATTTCGTGATATTCGGCTCCTCATTTATGTATAAGAGGAATAGCAGGGGATCCAGGACTTTGCTTTGTAGCATTCCACTCTCTACCGACTTCCAAGAGGAGAGGAGTGAATTGATCCTCAATTCTTGTCTCCTACCGACAAGAAACTCTGATCCACAAAAAGTAGATTACCAGTGATTCCGAAACTTTCCAGTTTTCTGAGCAATCTGGAATGAGGTACCTTGACGAACGCCTTACTGAAGTCTATGGAAATGACATCTACAGGTATCCTATCATCCTTGGACTTAACCCAACTTTCTGACTGTAAGGTTCGTCGAGCAAGGGGAATTTCTGCGAAAGCCAAGCTGCGAACGAAACAAGTGTTGGTCTCCAGATGAAGTGTGATGGCTTTCTTGACTACTCTTTCTAGGATTTTTACTACACTACTAGTCGAACTTATCAGTGCAATTTGATGGATGGTATCTAGAACTTCCCTTTTACATAGGTGACCATGGAGTCATTATAATCATAAGAAAGCGTACCCTCACTGAGGGGCAGTTAAAATATAGTAATCAATGGGCCGGCTGCACAGAGCACAAGCTCTCTTAGCAGCCTTGGGTCCAACTTATCCGATCCCGTAGGTTTTTCTACATCGAGAGTACTGAATGTCCGAAATACAACATTGCGATCGATATCCCCAGTTTATTCTTTTGGATGCCAATGCTTCTACTGTTGAATTAGTCCCCAGAAGGTTCTTATGTAAAGACCTCAGCAAAATATCCAGATATAGCTCCTGCTTTTCCCTTATCGTCTTCAATTAAAGACAGTTCCTATTTCTTTGATTAGGGTGGGTATACTACGACACGTCTTATTCCTATAAGAAAATAACCTCTTCAGATGTTGCAGTGCAGCCAGGGCAAGACGTGTTTCAAAGCATATTCGAGACCAGCGAATGGCAGCAACACATTTATTTCAAGGTTTTTTGTAATGCTCCATCACCTAAGGAGTTGGGTGGTAAAACTCCAAAACTTTTTCTTACGTCGTGGCGAGATTCGGATTTCGTAGTTTATCCACGGAGAACTGTTTCCATCCCTTCGGAACAGTCCACAGAATGAACAATTGAGCTACTTGTGCAAATAACTGTTTGAAGGAGGACTATGCAGCCTCAACTGAGCCTTCTGGATTGGTTGTCGAGAAGCTGACAAGTTAACAGCTGCCATATTCGCTTTTCATGCATTGGGTGTATCTTGAACATCGGCTTGGTGCAAGATGGCTGCTGTGAATCTGAAGGCTATAACAGCATGATCACTTTTATCATGGAGAGCAAGATGCCGGACGTAGTTGACATGTGTGGGAGAATACTAGGTCTAGAACTGATGGAGGATGCTGATGATCGTATCTGATTGCTACCTTAATGTGCCATAAGAGGGCTTAAGGTAATGTTTTCACTGACCTATAATCAAACGAATTACGTGAGGTTTCTGTTGTCAGTTTGTCTAAGTCACCTAATGGTGCGTTGAAGATTCCTACAACTAGGCAATGGCAGAGGGTCAGCCTATCCGGGAGGAAGTTTTCTATCTCACATTCGCGGCTTTGATTAGGTTAACATCTCCCTTCACTTTAGTTGGCAGCTCACCATTTCACGTCACACTTTCATTCCTATAGCTCTTACAGTTAATGATTTCTTGACGTAAAAAGGATGACACGGCCGCCTCCGCGTGTTAACCCAT